GTCAAAGAACTAAAATTGGCAAAACATTAAAAACCTTTCGGTAGGTGTGCCCCAGGGTAGCAACTTAGGTCCATTACTATTTAGTCGATATTTTACAATACTGCAAAATTCAACTATTTGCTGATGATACATTGATATATACAGGGTGTCCCAGAAGTCGACGTCAAGCCGAAACCGGGTGATAGGCAAAGTCATAACATCTATCAGAAAAATATTTAAAAAAATTTTATGTATGTGTTTTGAAAATTATAGGTCTTTGAAAAAAATATAGAAATTTCACACCCTACGGCAGTCTGTCAACTCCTGTTACTACAAATATTAACTTTTTTTGGATTTTATTTTTACGATGTAATGATTAATAATGCATCTTCAAAGTGGTGTCTCAACCTTACTGCCAACTTTTCTCGTTCAGGAAAAATTGCCACTTATTTCCCAACCAAGTATTCCAAAGTAAAACTTTGCTCAACTTTAACTGGCTGTACTGGAAAAAAATGTACTACGAGAGTTTGGCAAGTAACCTTAAAAAATGGCGCATTTAATAACGATTTCAAAATGGTATAACACTTAGAAGATTACTCGTTAACTTATGCACAATTTTTATTTGAAAAAAAACTGATGAAAATTTTTCAAAATTTCCTAATTAAATAGCGATTATGAAAACGCACAAGGGCCCTTAAGGATAACTGTTTGCACAACAGTGGGCGTCAAAATGCTGCTGATGATGATTTACCTTTACAGCAAATGCTCAAACTGTTTTCCTTCAGCCGCAATACACGCTCGACGTCTTCTTAAAAAAGATCGGGTTATTAAACGAGCGAATCCACGGTTATTAACAAACTCAGCTGCTTCCAATAGTCTTTGCCGTAGCTCAGCTACATTTTGAATCGGCTTGAAATACACTTTTTCTTTTACAGTTCCCCAGTAAAAAAATCTAAGGGATTCAAATCAGGTAATCGAGCTGGTCACGGTATTGTACCAGACCGCCTTATCCATCTGCCTGGAAAGTTTTGATCAAGATACTCTCTCACTGAGAGTGCATAGTACGCTGGGCAGCCATCATGCCGAAACCACATGTCCCCGTAAATACTCAGTGGCACGTCCTCCAATAAATTTTCTAAATGATTTTGCAAAAAACCTAAATAAACCTCAGCAGTCAAAGTCTCTGGGAACTCAAACCGACCGATTATTTTACCATTTAAAATTCCTGTCCAATGGTTTATCTTGAAGTGATATTGAGATTTATCTTCTCTCATCAAATGTGGGTTTGCTACGTGCCACTCGTGTAAGTTATGCAGGTTCATGTACCCATCTCTTTTTCAAAAAGTTGATATTTGTAGTAACAGGAGTTGACAGACTGCCGTAGGTTGTGAAATTTCTATATTTTTTTCAAAGAAATATAATTTTCAAAACACATACATAAAATTTTTTTAAATATTTTTCTGATAGCTGTTATGACTTTGCCTATCACCCGGTTTCGGCTTGACGTCGACTTCTGGGACACCCTGTATAAAATCTTATATGAAGTATGATATATTTTAACGATGTTGTAAAAAAAAGCTGGTGTTGCTAAGCTAGAGAATTACCCTATGTTTAATTTATTCAAATCAAATCATTTCTTGCACTTTGTTCTAGAGGAATTCCAACTCAAGATTGAGGTCATAATTATTTTTTTTCAACAAAAAATTACTGTCACTTTTCTGTCAGATTATTTGATTCAAAACAAACAATTTGTAAAAAGAAATCATTCATCAAACATAAAGGGCAAAGGTGTGAAACATGCCTCAACATTAAGTGAAAAAAGGTAAAAAACATAAAATTTTAAAACTAACCTTGGTTGCCTCTGTAACATATTAGCGTAATTTGGTAACTCCTAAACCTAATGTATTTAGAAATATCTACAATCTTTACTGACATCTTAGCTGTCCTGGAACCGTGGATCTTCCCTGTGTCTTTCTAACATTGTGCGACAAAAAGCAACTCGGGGCTCATAATCCCGGGACAGAAGAGCTTGAACACGCTGTACGTGGTATGGATGGAGCACCTTTTTTTTGCAAGATTCTATGGGCTGTACCTTTGGGCACACCTGTTTTTAGTTCTATTGCACGCACTGAAGTACTCGGGTCTTCTTTGACAGCTCCTAGCACCACGTCTTCGTAAGGAAGGAAAGATCTTCCCTCACCGTGTGATTGGTTTGGTAGCTGGCCCTCTGAGAACAGTAAGCGGTGCACATTTGTGAACACTCGATGATCTGGATGACGAGCTGCATTCGGGTACCTCTCACAGTAAAGTCTCGCTGCAGCACTAGCGTTGCATCTGCATTCCCCATAAATGAGGTGCATGTTAGCATATTCTTGTACGGTGTACACGGACATAGCGGCACTGCACAATCACACTATCAAAGATAGTCTAAGGAAAGCAAATGTTGTTTTGAAGAGCAATTAAACAGTCCAAATCCAAATCACAAGCGATCAACAGTCCAGTTTACGAATCCAAAATTAGTAACAGTACGAAATCAACAAGCACGAACATGTAAAGATGCGCAGTAAACGAAGGAGTACTGATCGGTATCAAAGTGTGTAAGTAAGTGATTTGCTTCATCCATACCACATACAGCGTGTTCAAGCTCTTCTGCCCCGGGATTATGAGCCCCGAGTTGCTTTTGTCGCACAATGTTAGAAAGACACAGGAAAGATCCACAGTTCTTTGAAAAAATTTTATGGTCGGATGAGACCACATTTAAGAAAGATGGGTACATGAACATGCATAACTTACACGAGTGGCACGTAGCAAACCCACATTTGATGAGAGAAGATAAATCTCAATATCGCTTCAAGATAAACCATTGGACAGGAATTTTAAATGGTAAAATAATCGGTCCGTTTGAGTTCCCAGAGACTTTGACTGCTAAAGTTTATTTGGATTTTTTGAAAAATCATGTACAAAATTTATTGGTGGACGTGTCACTGAGTATTTACAGGGACATGTGGTTTCAGCATGATGGCTGCCCAGCGCACTATGCACTCTCAGTGAGAGAGTATCTCGATCAAAACTTTCCAGGCAGATGGATAGGGCGGTCTGGTACAATACCGTGGCCAGCCCGATCACCTGATTTGAATTTACTGAGGAACTGTAAAAGAAAAAGTGTATTTCAAGCGGATTCAAAATGTAGCTGAGCTACGGCAAAGACTATTGGAAGCAGCTGAGTTTGTTAATAACCGTGGATTCGCTCGTTTAATAACCCGATCTTTTTTAAGAAGATGTCGAGCGTGTATTGCGGCTGAAGGAAAACAGTTTGAGCATTTGCTGTAAAGGTAAATCATCATCAGCAGCATTTTGACGCCCACTGTTGTGCAAACAGTTATCCTTAAGGGTCCTTGTGCGTTTTCATAATCGCTGTTTAATTAGGAAATTTTGAAAAATTTTCATCAGTTTTTTTTCAAATAAAAATTGTGCATAAGTTAACGAGTAATCTTCTAAGTGTTATACCATTTTGGAATCCTTATTAAATGCGCCAACTTTTAAGGTTAGTTGCCAAACTCTCGTAGTACATTTTTTTCCAGTACAGCCAGTTAAAGTTGTGCAAAGTTTTACTTTGGAATACTTGGTTGGGAAATAAGTGGCAATTTTTCCTGAACGAGAAAAGTTGGCAGTAAGGTTGAGACACCAGTTTGAAGATGCATTATTCATCATTACATTGTAAAAATAAAATCCACAAAAAGTTAATATTTGTAGTAACAGGAGTTGACAGACTGCCGTAGGGTGTGAAATTTCTATATTTTTTTCAAAGACCTATAATTTTCAAAACACATACATACATTTTTTTAAATATTTTTCTGATAGCTGTTATGACTTTGCCTATCACCCGGTTTCGGCTTGACATCGACTTCTGGGACACCCTGTATATATATATAAATAAAATAAAGACATTGAAACTGCAATAGAGCTGTTAAATAATGATATGAAAAATGAAATAAATTGGTTAAATGTAAACAAACTCAAACTAAACACAAAAAAAACAAAATATATGCTAATAGGAAAATCGTTAGATCAAAATATGATAAATCTTACATTTAATCATGAAAAAATTGTGTCAATCGAATCATTTAAATATTTGGGCATATACGTAGACAGTAAATTAAAATTTGGAGGGCACTATGAATATATTATTTCAAAAATATCCCAGAAAATGAGTTACTTTTATAGAATATCGTATGGCCTATTCTAAAAAAATTATGTACAACACTATCATTCTTCCTCATTTGTTATATTGTTCAACTATTTTGTTCACTGTAAATGAAACTGTATTTTCAGAATTACAAATATTACAAAATAAAGCTACGAGAATCATCTTAAATAAAAATAAATATACTGGAATAAATTTTATGCTGAAAGAACTACAATGGTTAAATATCAAAAAATTCATAGCCTACTTGGTTTTCATTTTCATGTTCAAGTTGAAAAATCATCTTCTACCAAATCACTTAGAAAATTTGATTGTATTGAACAATGAGTGCCACAATTATTCTACTAGAGGAAGTATAGACTTTCATTTACAAAACTGCAGTAGCAATAATTCTACGAATTTAATAAATTGAGTAATGATATCAAGATGTGTGTCAGTTTGAAAACGTTCAAAGGGAAATTGAAAACATATCTTATGGAAAACCAGAATTCATAGTAGGTAATGAAACTATGTAGTTTTGAAGACATAATATATTTTGTGAAACAAACAAACAACAAATTGAAAATATAACATATCTACTTTAGATAAAAGTTCTTGAGAATCTTTCTTGTTCAGAATGACTCAAAAACTCTAAAACAACTTTGTCTGGAGTGCAAACGGTTAAAAAAAATATCGATTTTTGATACAATTTACGGCCTTGAAGGGTGTCGGTCCTTTTTGAATGAGATTATTCAAAAAAAAAAAATTAATCAGAATATTCTTCCCAGCAGATGCGAATATAGGAAGTATCTACTAAGCTACAACCAAATGTACTCACGTCCAGGCTGGCGAGGCAATACCAACAAAAGACGTGCTTGCACCTTTTGCACATCATCTGCGCGCAGCCCTCGTCTTTTTCGATAGGAACGTTGCACATGGGACAGCATTTGATGAGATCTGAATCAAACGGTATGCCGACGTCTTCGGGTTTGCCCTCCTGCAAATTTTTAAGTGAAAATTAACTGAATTATCTCGGATAAGGTATGTTTGGAAAAAATCGGCAGTGACTGTTTTGGACGATAAATAGACGTCCACTTTTCTCGTCGTGGCCTAACGATTCTGCTCTAGCCCGGAAAATAGATTGGGAAACATTTAAAACACATATATCCAATTTTCGCTTTTCGTCCCTTGTTCATTGGATAAATTTGGTAACTTAAGAGTGAATTGTGTAGTCTACCACCAACTCTGAGAATTCCATTATCATCTAGAAAAACACCAAGTTTCCTTAGCGGTTTAGAAGCGACCTTATTGGCCTTTAAACTATAAATATCTGAAGAAAAGTATTGACTTTGAGTGTGCTTGACCAAAGCGTACATTTCGTTCTTCAGACATGAAGCGATGAGCGGAGATAAAAATTTTGTTTTGGGATGCCTAGCGTTATAAATAAATCTTTGAATATATGCATAACGCTGCAAATCTGATCAAAAGCATATCCAATATGTTCGGATCTATGTTTGACATAAGAGCGGTTTTTCTTTGCTCATTGTCCACACAGTGTGGTATGTTTATTAGAGGACATGCGGTGGGCCAATCAATGGATGCGACAATAAAGCAGGGCCTGCCCACTACTGTCCATAGTTTTTAAAATCTAAGGGCTGTAAACCACAAGATGCGCAATCTGCGATATTATTTTTCGAAGCCACATGATACCACCGAACGTCAGGTAGCATTTCTTGAATGCTTGGTATCCTATTGGCTACAAATGGTTTTCATCTGTGTGGTGAGGAATTAGGCCAATATAAAACGATTGTAGAATCTGTAAACGGGAAAATATGTTTGAAGGAAATTTTATTACTATATGTGTCAATAACAAAGCGCAATAGTTGAAACAACAAAACTGCTTCTAGTAGTTCACATCGCGGTATAGAAACTTGAGTTCACCTTAGATTTCGCGCATAACAGAGAAGTCTGTATAGTTGAATGCGTAATAATTCTCATAAAAACTACGGCTGAATGAGCGTTTGAGCTGGCATCAGAAAACCCAACAATCTATGTAGTTATAATGTTTAGGTAAAACTAAGCGGGGTATACAGGGTGTTCCTTACTGATATGCAAATATTTAAGGGTGTGAATCTACATGAAAAATTATTGTTAGTTTGCTTTATAAACTATGGTCCAAAAATGTTTCCTTACACTCGGGGTGTTGAAGTTTTAGGAAAAAAATGGAAATTAGTTAATATTTTCAGAACCGCTTTAGATATTTCACTGATATTTAGTACGTAGTGAGAAAAGGTTCGACTATCTGGCAAAGCACGATCTGGATATCTCTGGTGATAAATCCGTCTGGCTTGCTCACCATTACCGTCGGCAAGGCCATATACGTAATGCATTTCCGCCATTTCTGCATTTGAATAATTCACTATTATTAACAAGATTGTAAAAACTAAATAATGAAAAAGACGTCACAGCAAACCGATTTGAATAACAGAGATTTGTCAGATGTCAAAAGCCTGTGACATATTCTAGAGCAACTAGATACTTATTGCTAAATTGCATTCTTCAATTATTACATCAATTTACTCGAACAATAGGACGGTTTTTATTTTTTACTCAAAAATGGCGCATCGAAGGAAAACAATTCAAGAGAGACCATTTGTTTTAAATTGAACGGGGAATTCAAAAATAATTTTTATTTGGCAAAAAACCATGGCGTACCATTTTTTTTTAAATATCGAAGTCAATACCCCTTACGCACGCCACTGTTGAAGCTAAAAATTATTTTTGCATTGAAAAATATGCAGCTTTATCAACTTTCACTACGTACTAAATATTAGTGGAATATCTGAAGCGGTTCTGCAAATATTAATTAATTTCCATGTTTTTCCTAAAACTTCAACACCCCGACTTTTTGTAAGGAAACATTTTTGGACCATAGTTTATAAAGCGAACTAACCTTAATTTTTCATGTAGATTTACACCGTTAAATATTCGCATATCATTAAGGAACACCCTGTAGATATATCTGATAAACAACTATATCACTAAAACGGAACGTTACTAGTTTAAAACGGTTAAACGGAACACCCTTGTATCTCACCCCCTTACCTCTTGGTGCAAGCGGGTGCTTTGATACTACGGTTTCTGCCAGGAGAGAACAACGGAAAAGAAAGAGCCCCGGCGTACATACGCCCGCGCTTTTGTAGTGCTCGCCAATGTTCTAGAACCGACCTTGGTCGCTACGTCATGCCGTCCGCCACTGCGAATCTTCTTGACGTCGTGACGCCGACGCGGTGCATTTGATTGAATCAAAAATGTATTTTTATTCGATTCCTTATGGTGTAACCTATAAAATGAGTGCCCACACCCCTAGTGCATCTCATTCCAAAGGGCTAGATCAGACCCTGCAGGGCCTATAGCCAGTTCTAGCGTCTCCCCGACGACCGGCAGTGCATCAGCACCGTGCAGGTTGCAATTCCCGCACGATGACCATTCTAAAGTGCTTTTAAACCTGTACTACAACCAAAAGGGACCTTAGTGCCTTTTTGCCCACTGTTAGGGACCTTACAGGGCTCACAACACCAAGAGGCTTGCGTGACAAGTCCCCCAAGGCATCTGAATGTGGAAGAAAGATTTCTCATTCGTTATAAGGGCACTACATGCCCATTTCAGCCTGTGCCTCAATACGCCACTTTGGCGTGTTGTTTTTCCCCTGCAAATCCCTGAACCTATTAGTCCTGCCTCATAACGCATTCCTGACGTCCTGAATATCGTCTAGTGCTACCACAAGGCTTAAAAATTGATTAAATCATTTCATTCATTATAATAATTTCTAATACGGAAAAAGAAAAATATCAATTTCTGTCCATTTCTGTGTGTAACACATGGCAACAAAAACGACTGTGGTATGTCATAAAAACATCAGGTTTGCTGGAGTATTCGAGACTCTTCATAGGATACAAAATAATATATAGAATGAGGCACTATCCCAATTTTAGAATATCGGAACTGTATTTAATGACTAATTTAACATCTTCCGGAAAACGTGAATACGAGGGGCGGTCAGAAAGTACGCAATTCACGGCACCGAAAAACAAAAACATCATTACAATATATCATTCAGTAAGACCTTAGAAGCCAATGGATGATTGTGCTCTTCATGTTTTGTTAAGTGCTGGATAGTTTTTAATGCTAAATAAGGCGAGCAACTAATGCCAAAACTGACAGTGTTCAGAACATACTCCTCAAGTTTAGCGTCTGGTGAAAATCTCCATAAGATTTACAAATAAATTGACTTAATGTTAGCGGTTATAGCGATTTGTGGCAATCTAAAATTCAGAAGAAGTTGACTAATATCCTTCTGGAGTTTAGGACCTGACATAAGTGTGTCATTTAGCGATAACTGATTAGAATCTAGCATCGAAAACAACTCTTAATTTTGTGGTAGCTGATTCCGGTTTAAACACGTAATGATGCGGTATGAAATAGTCATTAAGCAAAGAAGAATGAATGTTATCAGATAAAGACATATAATTATTGTCTATCATGTCTTGTATAGAATTCGTATAAAGATGCGTTTTTCTAAAGAGCAAAATCTTCCTTGTGCTATTTGGTAGCTGTCATGGAAGATACATAGGTTCCTCGTCATTACGAAACAGAAATGCTTCAACATATCTCCCAGATGTTTTCCGAGAAGTTGTTTTTTTCATAAATTTGTTCGCATTTCAATTCGTCAGCAGACAAAAATGAGCGATGTGGAACCGATTCTGTTTTCCAGAAACGTTTTAAAGAATCATTAAGCGAGATCAGAGTAAAAAAATTGGTTTTACTCATACATTCCTCAGAGTCAAATTTGTCCCATGAAAACGTATCCAAATGATGTATTGACTGCTCGAGGTAAATTAGTCTGAGAGGAATGAGGAATTAATATGTCAAAAAAAAAAGAATGCGTTGGAACAAATCTGCATTCAAAATTAATTCTATAGATTCAGAAATGAAGAATTCCGGGTCACCCCATTCTAAGCCCTTGATACGAGACCATCCTCTCACATCAATCGTAACGGAAGGCATATTACCACCAATTTTATCCGAAACAATATCATCAAAATTTAAAGCAGGCTGCGATTTATTTAGAGGGGTAACTGTAACCAAAATTTGGCCTAAATTATTATACATTTCCATACCTCCTAGTCGGTAAATAGTAGCAGCCCTCATTTTTATCGGTAAACCTAGTTTTTCTGCGAATTAACAACACTCACTACCTGGATCTATGAGTACTCTACCGGTTTGCTTATTTCCCAAATATTAACTTTCAGCGTAGAATGAGCGAAATAATTTGTAGTTGGCTGGGGGATACAGCTGCGGATTCAGGGCGAGTGGTCAGCGTACATTGGGTATTTGAAATATGATTTTTCAAACTTAAAGATTGTGCGATTTCAACTACAGCCGATTAAGGATTATTAGAGGGTTGCGAAGCATTTGTGTATTGAATAACATGAAGCAGCGAGTGATGCTTGGTGTCACATATGCGACATGTATGAACTGACCTACACATACTGTTAGAATGGCAATTACTCAAACAGTTCAAATCGTAAGAAGCACACTGGTAAAAATAAAGTCCCATTCAGCTACCGGAGAACCAAGATTTTTCAATGCGGCAATATTTTCAGAATATGTTTCTAGTAGTTTCTTGAGTTGAGCGCGATTTTCAAAATTCATGCGTCGCATGAAGTTGCTAAAAGCCGTTTATTAGTATATAAGCTACTAAATAATTGGACGAAGTTAAAGGATAGCACTGTAACATACCTTTAGCAGACCCATCAACATATGATATCAAATGCGACAATTTTTCTATATTGGATAGAGTTTATTTGCTATGAATTAAGGCATCAAAAACATCAATAAATGACATGGAGGATTTAATATCCGCTTTAAACCTCATCAGTTTTAGTTTAGGTAGTTTCACTCTGGGTGGAACATCGGATATTTCAGGCCGAGTGACGGACCTCAACTCTTTAACCTCAAACAAATCATAATAAATGGATTTAATGGAATAATATTTGTTATCAACCCCAATGCGAATGTTATCCTCAACAAGAAATTCCTCATCTTTGTCAGGATCGAACATACCAATTATAGTGTTACGGCGTTTATAGAAACCTTCATATGAAGACTCTATAGTTTTATATGTTTGTATGAACTGCGAATGGAAATGAAGGTTTGAGCCATTTTACCAGAGTCAAGGCACTCGGAAATCTTATTTATTTCCATATTGCGTAAATACTTTTCCCTTTTAAGTTTTGTCAACTATGGTTCTGAATCAAGACAAAATGTACCTGAGTACTGTCCTGTGGTTACCTATAAACGCAAAAAGTGTATCTAATGAATTAATGCAATTACTGAATATCAACCAAACCTGACAAAATGCGCCAGAAAAGGGCGATGAAAGGCGAATCCGTTGAGAAAGATCAAAAATATGTATTCGAGTGGACTGGTGCAAGAAATGATCCGGTATTTTGTTCTAATTCTGGTTCCTATCCCATCAGAAGCGTTCCTGATGCTCTGGTCGGCGTGAATATCGCGGGTGTGGAAGCGGTTGAAGACGCGGGGTCGCGGGGTGCACTTAACGCATAGCACACAAATTTCTTGCGGATGCTGCGAAGGTTAGCTAGTAACTCTGTCTTTGGATTGTCCTAGCGGCGCACGCGCGCGGACTTGGCAAGCGACAACTCATATTCGCCAACGTTAAGGATCCCCCAAACCTACGCGATTAATCCGCTGCGATATAATTCTCGCCAAATTCGCTGCGAACATCTGAGGGACTTTCATATCGAAGCGAAAAGATCGCAGTGGATTGGCAGTAAACGGTGTCAGAGTGTAGCTTGAAAATCAAATTAAAACATGTACTCTTCAGATGGAGAAGAAGCAATTCTATATTTTGCTTTGGCGGAGGAAGAACGGAGTAAGCTTCTACCATGGGACAATGATTTGAAGCTGGGTTGATGCACATTCCAGAAGATAAGCCTCTACCTGGACAGAGGGAACCATGCCCTCATGTTTTGATTGGAGATGAAGGATTTGCCCTTAAACCCTACCTAATGAGACCGTTTCCATAAAGACAAGCAGACGCTAGAAAAGAAAAATACAATACTGGACTGTGCAGGGCGCGGAGAGTAGTGGAAAATGCTTTTGGGATTCTAAGTCAAAAGTGGAGAATTTTTTATAGGCCCATGGAAACGAAAACAGATACTACAATTTTAATAGTAAAAACTACATGCGTTCTGTATAATTTTTACGCGGTAAGCAATGTGACGAACAGTAACACCTTCTAGATGAAGATCCAGATCCATCACAAGCCTTTACCAACATCGAAAATGATCCAAGACGTGCAACGAATCTGGCATTTTCTACACGAGAAAAATTTGTTGACTACTTCAGCTCCTAATATTGTTGGTCAAGATCAGCTTAGCTAAGCCATTCATAAATAATAAACGTATTATAATAATTTCTCAGTAAAGAGTAACTTACCGGTGTCATTCAATTCCACTCCCATCTCATCCCAGATTTTGTCTTTTTTTCGAACATTTTTGTAGTCCTCGTTGTTCAAGTCATAGAGAATTGGAAATTGTTTAATTATTTCCAGAAGTTTTTTAGTGTTTGCCATTGCGACAGGGGGATCCTTTAATCATTCAAATTCAAGCGGATAATCAAATGAAAATGGTATTTACCGTTTTGGGTTGGTATTCACCGATCCGTTCAAGCGAGTGTAGTTATCAGTTTGGTTATAAGGTCCGTGACGTCATGAATCAGCTGTTATATGTCATAGTTATCACCGCAAAATTGTGGTATTTACCCAACTCAGAAGTAGTTTTATATTTCTGGTTATTATTGTGACAAGTTAGAATTTTGCAGGGTATAGGATATTGTTATAGTAATTCAGCTTCATTTTTGGGAAACTTGATACAGGCTGACTTCAGTGTTAGCATAAAGTGGAGCACCTTATTAGTTATACTCATTACTGTTGTTGGGAACACTTTAAATCTAGCTAGTATGCTTAATAAAGTATTCTCTGTAGCCATATACTACAAGAATATTAAAATATCGCTATATAAACTCACTGGATGATGTCCACCTGTATACGGTTTTGCTATTATGTTTTTTCATCATTTCTGATAAATCAATAAATGTTTTCTGTGACATGCGGAAAACTTTAGAGAATTGAAAGTTATCATAGCTAGAAAACCATGGTTCCACCATTAAAAATTTTTTTCTGAAAAAAAAACATTTCTCCCATGAATATTATGAAAGGTTACTTATTTAAAATTTCCATACACCGTTATAGACGAAAAAGCACCGATTATTAAGTGATAATAAAAATAATCAGAGATTATATACGAGCTTTTCTAAAATAAACAACTTGCAACAAAACCGCGGTTAAACGCAACGCGTTCAAGCATTTCTCGTAACTGACGTCATCAGCCCATGTGTCATCTTGAACCATATTATAACCGCGGCACATAACACAGAAATTTTGGTTATTCGCTTGGATTTGATTAAATAAAGACAACCCAAACATCTCTAACAATCTGCCCTTCAAGAAGCCACTATTACGGCCAACAAACAATTTAGACCACATTTACCATCAGACCTTGCTGATCTTATTAGCAAAAAACGCCGTGCTATCAAAAAAGCTAAATCAACTAGACACCCTGATGATATCAGAATAGCGAACAAAAACGATCAGTTGAATAACTTCCTAGAAGGCATGTTACCAGTTTTCACTAAATGACCATCTTGATCCTACAAATACTACCTGTATTGAAGAATCCAGTCAAAATTACTTTAGGTCCAGAGAGACAATCAAACACCAGCCCTAATACCTCCTTTGGAGGAGTGGATAGGATATCTCAGACACCAAATTAAGAAAAGCTCGTGAAGACGATTATATTACAGAAAGGCCAGGGTTGTTCTGTTTTAATATAATGTTTAAAACGGGTATTTTAAACACTGTTTAAAACAATGAAGGTGTTTTAAACTGTTTTAAACACTGTTTTTTGTCGTTTGTGGATTATTCAAATTTTTTTTTATATACAGGGTGTCCGCAAAGTTGAGGTTTTCCTTTTCAGAAACAACTACCCTTGAAATAACAAAGGTAATGTGTACTGAAACGAGGGCAACCAAGTAAAAAAAAATAAAGGAAAAAGTACTCACTCGCCAGTTGACGAGAAGGGCTAAGTACGTCTCTGCCCGAAATCATACCGCTCCAACAGAAATTGAAATCAGCTGATGCGCTACCGAGCAGACGCTGGCGGTGGTGCAGACCACGAACAGAGGTAACAAATATGACGGCGTTGCCGCGTTTTCAGTTTTTAGGTAAACGTACTTTATAGGTATTGTTCGAAGTTATCGCCGTTTGATTCATAAACACAGGTGCGTGCACGACGTAGCCAAGCATCGGTGCAGGCTTTGAGAATGGAGTCCCTCCCCCGAATGAAAGCACCAGCTTGTTCAATTCTGAGACGAAGTTCGTCAACCGTATGCACTTCAGGCTTGTACGCTAAGCGTTTCATTTCTCTCCAAAGAAAAAAATCACATGGTGTTAAGTCTGGAGATCGCGGAGGCCACGCTACGGGTCCATTACGTCCGATCCACCTATTCGGAAATCATTCATTCAAAAACTCACGCACTTCGCGACTAAAATGGGGCGGTGCACCATCGTGCAGAAACCACATTGATTGTCTTACACTTATTGGCACATCTTCTAACAAGGAAGGCAAAATGTTGCGTGAAAAGTCTAGGTATTGCATCCCGTCCAATCGATTTGGGAGAATAAATGGTCCAATGAGCATACCGTTCACCATGCCAGCCCAAACATTCACCGAAAATGTTTGTTGAAAATGTGCCCGACGGTCAGCGTGCGGATTTTCTACTGACCAAACATGAGTGTTGCGAAAGTTATTCACCCTATTACGCGTGAACGTAGATTCGTCTGTCACCAATATACACTTCAAAAAGTCCGGATTATTGTCATGTTGTTGCAACAACCACTCACAAAACCGCACTCTTGCTCGAAAATCGTTAGGTTGAAGGGCGTGTACACGTTGCACGTGAAACGGATACAGCCCCTCTTCACGCAGCGTTTGCCACACTTTAGTTTTTGATACTTGCACTTCTCTAGGCACGTCTCTAGTGCTTGTTGAGGGATTCTCGTCTACGCGATTACCTCTAGACGCGTGACCGTAACCGTCGGTTGAAGGTTGCATACTAACCTGACACACTGACCCCGACAAAGTTCTGTCGTCGGGTTGAGCTAGTGTCCTAGTACCATTCAGGGATGTCGCGGCTACAGGACGGTATTCAGATATTTTTGATGTTGCCGAGCCCTTTATCTCGGTTCTCTTAAGACATTGGTGTATGTGGTACTAAGAAAAATTGCTTATGTTTTCAAGATAGACACGTCTGTAAGGAAAACCCCAACTTTGCGGACACCCTGTATATTCAAGTATGATCAAAATTGATTTTATTTTGGAA